TGACAGAGAAAGATTTAAAAATATTATTTACAGGCAAGTACATTTTACAATACTATCATTTATGTAACCTTCTTATACGTAATGTTATCATATATAACAATATGTATTCGTTACATAATATCACTTATAGGTACATACCAATTAACACAAGCAGTGTGTTATCTTGCGGAATTGATGAAGGAAGACAATAAATTAAATATTGAATACTTGAATGAAGCGAATAATATTATACGGGTAAAGATACAGTCCCGACATATTAATCGAAAAATGTATCAATGTTACATTGAATATGTACTAAACTCGATCAATTACACAGCTATTACACGCTACACATGTAACTGTGCAAATGGAAACAGAACAGTAGGTTGCTGTTCGCACGTGGCGTTAATTATATATTATTTATCCCATGGTCGATTTAAATCGAGGATTGTAAGACCAGCGGAGATATTAATGCACATATTTGATGTAACAAGTACCGTACCAGTTATTGATGAAAACAGCGACGAAGATTGAATAAATATTTCACAATTACTTCTTGTTTGTACGTCCATGAGTTAGTACCCAATCCCTTATCCCAATGTATAGCTTCGATACATCTTTAATTATTTAACTATGTTCCACCAATTCTATCATCTTGAAAATTTTACACATAACAGACAGGTAATAGATCATTATTCTACAATTTTTTGGTGGTGGTACCTCAAAGGGTAGCTTGCTAAACCAACCACTAAAAAATAGATTATTTTTTATCAGCCAGTTGCAGTTGATACAAAATTTTCAAAAAAAATACATTATAGAGGGGATCGATACACGTGTTCCAGTATTCTTTCATCCAGATATCTTAAGTGGTTTCCGAGAAAAACGATGGTAAAGTTAAGGGTGTTTACCCTCATATTACCCTTAAACGATGAGATAGCGACTTGAAATTTTAGGGGATCATTTTGCACACTAGGAGGAATGGTTTGCGCATACTGTTAACGAAAATCGACGTGGAGGCCGATTCACCATGCTTATCCTGCTAGACCCTTTCTGGTCTCGATTAGCAAATATGAGCTGACTGTGACCGTAGCTCGACGGCTAACACAACTTGAACTCTGTACCGCACAATGAAAAAATAAACTGGTTCCAACCCTCGGTTGCATGAATTTTTGTTGCAAACAATTTTAACTAAACTCCTGCGTCTAAGGATTTTTGAGGTCGTTGATCACGAATCTATTAATAGATTTGAAGACTCCATAATAGACCGGGCGCTCTTAACACAAAAAATTTTTAAAAGTCTGCCATTGATAGGGGAAATATTTACAGCCACAAGCTGTAGATAGATGTACTTAAAAATCATCGTTACGTGTTAATGCATACTTAAACATTAACTTTAGTTAGCAAAAAGAACGTAGTTTCTTGAAACAACTTTCAAACAGTCTGCCTTGTGAAATTTCGTCAACTTTACGCTAACATTAGCCTAAATTGAGTTTGGCAGATTGTAAAAAATTGTTCTTAGACGATTGTTCTTATACGATTTAATTGCTAACTAACATAAGTACGCTTTATTCTTGTACTGGAGAAAACCATCTGCCAATAATCTTTTCATGGATTGCGCAATCTTGCCTTGTGCTCAAATAAATGGCCCGGACTATAAATAAAAATTAGCAAATTAGAAAGTAAAATGACGAGTTACAGTGCTGCGGCAATGATTCCTGGAGCGATTGGTATAAGACGTATGGCTGAAGCGCGAGTTTCTTGTGTATTAGTTGTTCTCCTTGGTTTCGGAATGAACGTCGTATCGATGTTTTGGTCACCGTGAATTGTTGAGAAAGAAAAATGCGGTGACTGCGAAACACTTTTAGAGATTCGATAAGAACGAGCATCCCTCGCTGAGATTCTGCATGTTGGATAATTTATGTCGATGGCACGTCGGGACGTAGGTATCGATCGCCGAGACCAAAGTTGCGGATAATTGAAGTTTGCCAGGAGAAACAGACAAGCTACAACCATCGAGAGTGATACCGATGGAAACTTTACCATCAGCGTGCCGAGACCAGAAAGTGAGTTTAGAACAAGAGAGAGGAAGGCGGGAAATGTAAAAGCTCCTGAAATATAAACCATCTATGCGCGTGCTAAACACATTTATAAGTACAATATTCCGTTTGTGTGATAAGTTGATTGAAGTTTAATTTAATTTTTAATAAAACCATGTTTTCCTTACTAAATATTATTTTGTTAATGTTATTGTCAATCGACGTAATCCTTAGCGAGCACAGATTTTAAAAGATCTAATTACCTTGTCAAAATGTTATGAAGCTGCTTGATGAATTTATGAATTGTCATTTCCTCAATTTTCAACAATAAGAGTATAAATTAATCGCTGTCGACGTTCAGTATCTTTGGATATTATCTATGCAATGTATGATCATCGTGGTTGCAAATGACTCGTAGAGTTGATGCAATATTAAGAGTTTAATTAATAATGACAGGATAAATAGAAACTTCTGCCTGCATTATCTGTTTTAGTTAAACTAAAAAGCGGATGAAATCATATTTAAAAATAATCAAGTACGATGGAATGTGAAATAGACAAACACCAACCGATACTTTCGAACGAGAAGACGTTGCATTTCGATTCGCCTTTAATATTTCTGCAGGAATCAGCAACGCAGCTCTCGCTCTTTACAGTCCTTTTGTTCTCTCCGTCATCTCCCTTCCCTCTTTTTTGTCTTCGCATTTCTTCTCTTCAATGAAAGCCATTATTTCACGACGGATGGAGGATACCGAAACGAATTATTATTTCTCCAACGCGGCGCGGTAAGATCGACTGCTTCCCAGTCGATCTCATCATTGGATGGATCCTCGTAGTGACTCAGAACGGAAAATTGCATGTGCAGCGAAACGTAATCCCCCGCCCGTGATGTTTCGAAATTCAAATGGTTACAGCTCAAACCCACTCCTCTCTCAGTTCGTTTCCCACAGGATGAACGAAACCCTGTGAGACTGCACAATAGACGGAGACGGTCAAACGAACTTCGTTGACGGGAAGGTCCGCTTGCTGTTCAATATTTAACAGCATTCGGGAAATGTGTAAATGCCGTTTACTCGGATTGGACTTAATAACTCGGGACGAGGTACGTCCCATCGTTGCATCCTTCATATTTTCTATGCACGGTATCTCAGAAATCGTGGTACAGCCGATCAAGTGGTGATTCTACACCTGAAAATATATCAAAGTAGAAAATAACGTTCTATCATTTAAAATTTTTGTTTCGAAAAAAAGTAAGATTCAACCTATTCCGTTTTCAAGAATGAATCTTCTGTTTTTTCTTTACAAAATTTCAAACGTGTGTCACTATTTCAACTTACAGGCGGAACAATCTTTATCCCCTTACATTAATATTTTCGACTCGATGCACTTCAATCACAGGATCACGGATTTTAGATTACAGGGTCTCTCCAAGGAGAGAGGATATTTTTTATAATTTTCCGTCCGTTTTGCTGTGACGGAGGGGCGTGATTCGTCACGGTAGATCGCACTCGCGAATCCGCATTCGCTATTACCGAAAGGAGAATAATTTCGCGGAGCCGGCTTATTTTCTCTTCGTCCATACCTCCGTCGTTTCGTCTTTACGAGGTCGCAAAAGCCCGCATCTCTATCCATCCGTACTTTTTAACCCGCAAGATTTCATAAACGTGGAAACCCGACGATTCTTGAAGAATAGCTGAAGTCGTCGTATATAATTCACTGTGATCTATCTCCGAATAAATTCACTGAGATAGAAGACTCTTGTTCAGTGGAAAATTGAAGAAAGCAAACATAAATTAGCAAAAAATGAAATCCGACTACGAAAACCTGCAAATGAAATGAAAATACGTATCTTGCGTTATTTTATTTTGTATTAACATCTAATGCAGTTTGGGTTACTTTTTAAGGAAGGAAATAGACGCGCGGACGAACCTTGTGTAACACTTATACATATAGTGTTAGCTTCGGGAGCCGCAGGACGTGGACGACGGGGGGAGGGTCAGTTCCCCTTAGCCACTTAGGTAAGAAGGTAGTCGGATTGGCAGGTCACCTGTCGTAGATACGTCTTGAGCGGTCAAAGGGGTGTTCTCATTACCACAGTAAGAGTAGTAAAAATTCTACGTGTTGGGTGGCAAAGAGACTCGCCCCCTACAGTGTAGGCTCCGCCGGGGCATTTCTCGAGTCCAAAATTTTGCCCCCCCCCCCCCTCACCAAGTAGAATTCTCACTACGCTTACGGTAATGTGAATACGCCTTAAGACGTATCGGTTTCGAGA